AAGTGTTGGCCACCTGAGCTGGTCCCGCAAAAGGCACCGTTCCCCCAATGCCATTTATTATAGCACATATATTCATCAACCTGAAAAAGAGGAAACAATCAAATCAACGGCATACTACTGCAAAATTATGTGTAACCAGGTAACTGTCATCAATTAATACATGCCTTTTTTCTACAGTGTACTGATTTATCAGAAAAAAGAGCTCATTTCTTTCTTATGAATTTCATTTATAACAAAATTATAATTATTTTAATTAAACATGTAACCTACCATGTAGCAATTTTAGGTTCATATGTTATACATCTGATTCCAGTGCCTATCAACATCAGAAGTGTGCAGGCCAAAAATGAGATATGTAAACCTGTTGTACAAAGAGAAAGAGAACATCACCAATGAATAAATAAATGACAACCAATCATGTATTATAATTGATATATTCCAATATATTTTTTTCATTGCTATGAATGCATTGTTTACCTCTAATTATTTTGACAAAAAAGAACAGATATAATTTTTGTCTGAAAACTTGTTATTATTGGCATCAAGTAGGTGTTTCATACAGTATCTACAGGTAACATGGTAAACTTGCATGACATGTACATGATGTAAAAAAATTGATGTTCATGGACAATAAACAGAATGAAAAGATTAAGACTGACCATTGCACCATTGCATAAAAGTGATATAGATATCTAGTGTATATTTATATGTATGGGGGTCTAAAGTAAATATGTCCATGGGTAGATCTGTACTATTATGATAAGTGGATATGTAAACTATTGTCATTCATGATTCCAGTTTTGAATTAAACTTATCAACATATATATCTACAGGTAAAGCTAGTTATTATTATAAGCACATACTCTGGTGATGTCTTAATCTTAACCTACATATATTTCTTTATAAATCACAATTAAAGAAAAAGTAGTCCAAATGATGCAAATTATTCAATTTCACTCAACATGTCAAGGAAAATGCATGGCTGGGCTGGGAATGGAACCTAGCTAGGACCCCTGCATCACTAGTCAGGTGCTCTACCGACTAAGCTACCCTGAGACTGATATCCACAAGCCAAACCATTACACCCCTCCCTCCTAAATTTGTCTCTGTGCTCAAAGACACAACCCAAGTTCTATTCTACATGTAGCCCCTAGCAAGACTTTCAAATGCAAGTCCATCGGTGGTAATAGTGCCAATTAAATCTGTGACAGGAATTTAGGGAGAAAATGTATGGCTGGACTGGGAATCAAACCAATGACACCTGCATTGCTACCAACAGAGCTACCAAGGCCAATATTCATGTCCCAAACCATGACATATTCATAAAGAAGATTATTATAACTGTAACTACTTTTAGTCGTAATACCCAATACTTAGTATAGGTTACATCATAGAAGCCGAGTAGTATTGATTATATCGTTTTCATGGGGCATGGAAATTGAGGGCGCGGAGCGCCCGAGATTTCCACGCCCCATGAAAACGATATAACCAATAGTACGAGGCATCTATGATGTAAACAACTTGTCGCATGTCTGATGACGTCAATTTCATTGAAAGTGTCAAAATTTAATTTAAAAAAAATGTTAAGCGTGTAATGAACTTAAGATTCATTTCAAGCTAGCTCTCCAACATGTCGGACGGTCTTAGTGATTTGAATTCGACTTTTTAACTGAGTTTGAAGATTTTGACTATTTATTTTTGATCCAGGCACTCGACAATTATGAAATCACAAATTCTGAAGCAAATATCAAGGAGTTTAACGATATAGAGTTTGGAGATTTTATTGTAACTTTCAAAAATTTAAAATGGATTAATCTTTCGAACGACTGGAAACTTTCAACCTACCGAGTTAAATACATGTATGTTAATTTAGTTAAAGGCTAAAAAATAGCTTAACATGTTCATTTTTTGTAGTTATGAACTTGTGAAATAAAATCAGCTTTTTTTTTCTCATGACCTGATTTCTGCCTCCTGCAGTGATATATGAAGGGGCGTGGAAAGTATTATCGCATATGTGATATGGGATATATCACCACAGAAAGATGAAAGAAAATCACCGCAGATATGCGACAACTAAGATTGCAACGACACAGTGGAGCTTCATACCTTTAGTATCCATGAAGTAGCAAGCTGGAAATACGGTGACTATGTAGGCAATATTTCCCCAGTTAGCTAACATTCCAATCTGACTATCCTCCCATCCAAACACCACCTCTGCAGACTGGGTTATAGGCCCCCACGTGTTCCACACTGCAGCTTGTAAAAAGCATGCCAGGGTAAACACAGCCAAGACATACCACCGCCGAGTATATGTTTTGAATTTTTCCGTCTTTTGAAGAAGCGGTTGCTCTTCTTCGTATGATGAACTTTTATCGCGATCGTATTTTCCATTTTCGTGATTTTGCACGCATGAACTTTCACTTACCGACATACTGCTTGAAAAAGTATGCGACAGTAAAAAGAAAACACCTAAAATGTCATAGTGACATAACGGAAAGGGGTAGGAAGGGTCAGACAGTAAAGTGCATTAAGCCTCAGCCTTGTCAGCTATCTGATCGTTACATTTTTGTTCAATATTTGATGGACTTTGTTTACATCCGGTGTGTTTAAACGAAAGTCACATGATCAAAGTCACATGATTTTTTTTTTTTTTTTTTTAGATAAGTTGAGTCCGGGAATATTCGTAATATACACCTTTATTTCAATCTCTGCCTTTATTTCACAGGTACTTGGGCCTTGGTTTATAAAGGTACTTTTATACATATCAGTAGGGTACATACATATTTATATATACCTGACAGGTGCTTTATTTTACCAACACCTATGAGGAAATTTAAAATCTTTTGTATTTAAAAAAATATAATGTAAATATTGCATCCATGTGCCGTTGGCCATAAAATGACAGAGAAGATGATTACTTAAGGAATCACTGTCTAGTTAGGAGGGTATGTCAGGGCATCAATAATAGTGGGAAACATGGGATTCGCCCGTTATTCTTAAATTATCCCATGTTTCCCACAATTGTTGATGTCCCTGACATACCATACTAACTAGACAGTGATTCCTTATAATTCCATTTCATTGCGAAATAAAATTGTAGATTTAGACTTAAAAAAATGTAGAGACAAATTTAAATTCCATGAGGACTCCCATGTCAATTTCAATAGTCCTCACGAGAAGCCGCACGAGATTTACATGCGTATTTGGCCTCCTTAGCGTCAAGCACAGAGACAGATGCGCATGAGATTAGCATGCGTATTAGGCCTTCTTAGCCCCTGACCTATCGACCTGCCTAATTTACATTCCGGTAGAATTATCAAGAAATCGACTCTGCTAACTTTCAAAGGGTTATCACAGAGAGAAAAAAAATTAGAATTGGAAATATTAATAATTTCTAACCAAGTCTAACTGACATATGTAAAGTTTTGTGTACCCTTTGCTGCTTGGTGGATGATGTGTTCGAGTATGGTAAAGGGGGGGGGGAGGTTCTAGTTTCTAAAATAAATGGTCTGTTTCTCTGTGACTACCAAACTTCATCCACTACATTGGCGTCGGAAGCAAATTGAAAGTGGGGGGCTAAGTGTAAAAAAAAAAAATTGTACCTTCAAAAAAAAAAAATCTGACAAGCAAAAAAAAAAGGGGAAATTGTCCATTTCCCAGACACGAAAATCCTATTTCGTGGGGGGGGGGGGGGGTCTAACTTCAGTACCAAATTTTTTTTTTTCCAAACACCACCACTTTCCCCATTTTTAACCTATACTAAGACGTATTTGTGGAAAGTGGGGGGGGGGGGGGCTAAACCTACGAAGATATGTGCCTGTGTCCAAAATATGAAGTTTTTAGAATGCAAATTCATTAATTTCGGGGAACTAACTTTCAAATAAGAAAATATGAATGCATAATATATACTAGCTGCAGATCTGTAGCTATCCGAAAAAATATCCGGTCTATCAATACATATTTTTTTCGGATAGCTACAGATCTGCAGCTAAATATATACATCAGTAACTTTTATGAAGTCTCAGAGTTGGTTTAATTGCAGGATAATTCGTGCAGATGTCAACTGCGATAGTACTTGATAAAGGAGGAAAGAATTGTTTGAAATCTAGTTTTGTTTTTTTTTTTTTTTTTTTTTGTTTTTGTTTTTTTTTTTGTTTTTTTGCAATTGAATTAATAGAGAACCAAGAACAACTTTTGTGTGCAATAAATATACTGGTCTATTTCAATGGATGGCACTGTAGCTCACCAGTTTGTCAATATACTTTTTTTTTCGGAGACCTAAATATCTGCAGCTAGCTCTAGAAGTAGCAATTTCAGTTAAAATTGAATTTAATTTAAATTCATTTTTACAAGAAGGGGTTACGTATGCGAAACAAGCGACTGTGACTTTGAGCACTGGGCTCACTTAATGATACCCTCGACTCTCATAAAATTATAGTACTCACGGTCACAGTCGCTTGTTTCGTATACGGGGTAGCAGATTCCATGTTATGCACTGCAAGACCCAAAATAAGTGTCAAAATTTTATCTAAAAGTAAACAAACATTAAATTCCCCAGCTTTCGGTGTCTTTGTTGGTAATATGTAATATAGGGTATATTCGATTAAGCGACACGGGTTACACGAGTCACTAGAGTTGTAAATAAAACAACCTATCTTCGACACGTGTGATCAACCCGTGTTACGCGAGTATACTACCCAGTTTACCTGGAGTAACAGGTAAAATATTGGCGGGAATTGAAGTCGCATTGTTAATGCGAAAACTGTTTCTGCATAAATATGCCAGTGTTTGTATTAGAAATTTATAACGTTAATGAAAAAAGTCTGCAATATAATTTTAACACCTCCTTTTTAATTTTTTTTTTGTTTTTAGGTCAACCTCTTAAAATTAATGTTGTTTTATTATTGACATTTTTTGATTTTTTTAAAATAAAGAAGTTTATCCAGATTTTTTTTTAACATTGCCTATAATTGTTGCCCGAACCCCTGGGACCTGCTTTACAAAAGAACTTACGACTAAAACCAAAAACTTATGTTGATTTATTATAAATTTTTAAAAATTAACTGTTTTTGAAATTGTTACCATAAAACATTCTAAATTCTTATTTATTTTAAATTCTTATTACTTGTTTGTTTATTTATTTTTGTTTGTCAAAAAATTATGAGACTTAACATCTGTGAGATTTGATCCCCCTCCCCCACCTTTGAAAAAATCAAAGTACTGTGAGTACTGAAAGACGGTGGCGTGAATGATTTTGTTTGTTTAACGTCCCATTCTAGATTCAAAAATTTTGAGCAGCGAAGGATATTTTTCTGGCTAGCAATTACTGCGACACGGGACAAGTATTTTTATATACATGTATAAATTTATATTTTTTGTACTAAAAATTGAAGTATTATGAATTCTCACTGTGATCTAAAATTTTCACTACTCTCGAGTACATTTTTCATCAAAAACATAGCAAACTTCAAATAAGTATATGCATATTAATGTGTCTAAAGCAGCATCAAGCTTCCTCTTTGCTAAAAACAAGCTGGATAAATCCCATTTGAATCAAGGAATTTCATTGATGCACATAGTTGAGTTTTCCTTAATTCTTCAAATAACAGTCAGAAACCAATCTTGCGCACAAATAGGACCTTGTGAAGAATTATTAGTACTAAAGTTATGGACAATATTTTTACAATCATTCAACTAAATGATCTTATTTATTGGCTGCCAACATTGACAGCGTCTTTCGCTATTCCTGTAGCTGTTTGTTCTATCCGTTGATTTGATTAAAATAATTTTCGCTCAGAAAACTACCATTTCCCTTGTACACTTAAAAGGAAAAAAAGTGAACTGCTTTCCCATGCGTTGTAACGTCATCGAACGTCGTCGTTTTTAAGCGGTTAGCTTGGCTAACCGCTTTATGGCATGTATCGACACCGGAAACTTCCATAAGGCGCTACCTATCGACAACGGAAACTTCAACAAAGCCTTTACCTATGATTTGTTTCTAACACATATAACATATGTTAAATAAAATCAAGACTATCAAAACAACATAATCTTTCGGTTTTTAATTTTTTGTCTGATTTTGTTTGTCAATGAAATAAATTTATAATTGTTGCATTTAAAAAGTTTATGTATAGGAGCATTTGGTGTCGAGATTAAATTTCCGTGACGTCAGCTGATGGCGATCGGGCCCTGTGACGAAATTCGAAGTCAGCATGAAGTTTAGCTGATAAAACATTATCAACGCGTTGGATTTAAACTTAAGGAAGAAATATCATATTTGAACCCAATGCTACACGAAAACCAGTAGGCATATCTGATTTATGTGTTAAATTGAAGCCTGAATCGAACAGGGGGTCAAAATGGGCATTGCACACCTTGTGTATTTAAACTGTATATAGAGGGGTTAGAATGTTTCGATATTTGGCTAATTTGGAGACTTACTGATAAAAATTCAGGTGCCTGTGATTAATCATAAGGCACCCCTCGGTCAAATAAATATTTGACCGAGTTATGCTACTGGCACAGGGAGGACGGGTTAATTACTGGCTAAAGGGGTTGAAGGTTATTACAGACTGCAAAACATCGGAGAATCTCTCGATCGAGTTTCATTTTCCTTGCCAAAATATTAAGGCATCCCTTTAATTAACTTAAGTAATACTAGTACATGAAGAAAACCTTTGTATAAAAAAAACTGAATACATCTGTAAGTTGACAGTTATGGATCACTTCCAATATAATGAAACGTTTGTTTTCTCAATTGAAATTATTTAAAAGATGATGAAAGCTTTGTTTCCAGGGATAAATTCTGTACTCAGTCTAATTATTACAAACGATTATAAACGATCACATTTTTTAAAAAATATTTGCCAAATACTCAGTATATATTCGTTTATATATATTGTGCTTGCAAGACTCTTTTTTACATAATTGTCATATACCATTTACTTATTCGAACATTTAATTGTATTAAAAGTAAATAGTGTACATTTCTTAAAACTTTATTATCTTGTTTACTTGTCTTTCTTCCTGTGAGAGAAATAGTTCATAATATTAATAAACAGATGTACTCAGTATCTGTATCAAAATACAGAATGAACAGTGATCGGTCTCAAAAGAAAAACGGATCCTTGAAAATTCCGGTGCCTAGAAGTAAGCATCCCCAATGACAGGTCACACCTGCTGACCTGCAGTGAGCCTACGAAACTGAAGCTCTCTGAAATCAAATTGATTTACAAATTCTCGTCCATCCGTTTTTCTCAGACTAGCCAGCTAAAGATCTATGTACAGTACTCCAAATAAATTAATATAAAGAATTTGAATTATCATTTTATTCTTTTTGAGTTGTTTGCTATTAGTAGCCTTTACAGTTACCTAATTTCAGAATCAATAGAGCATGAAAGACAATTAAATTTGCAACATCAACTTATTTTTTTTTTTCGTTCTGAGCACTTTTGGACACCGCCAATGGAGACAATTAGAAAGAAATTTTTGAAATTGAACTTCCTGTCTTTCAAACTGAAAATCTCAGGTTGATATTTTGAAACATACATTTGTGATATCAGTCTGGGATGTTATTGGTTTTTCCATTTAGTTAAGTACTACAAAAGTCAGTGTGTCTGCTTCTTCGCTGATGACATTGGACAAAGA